TCTTTTCGTCCAGATTTTGATAAGCTTTTATATGTATTGGAATGTCAATTTGTCAATGTATTACTTGATGTGACTTCTTTCAGAAGTAATTCTAATTTGAAACATTTGTAGATATATACCACAAGAAGGTGATAAGGTATTAGGAATTATCAGAGCTGCACGAGGTGATATCATTAAAGTGGATATTGGTGCATCGGATATTGCCACCATCAGTTATTTGAACTTCGAAGGTATACTTCCAAATGAAGGATCCATGTTATCTTATGTTTATAATGAATGTTTTATTGAATGATATCAGCTCGACTGATGCGGTTTATAACTTGAAATTCTTGAGTTTTAGAGACTTGTGGACATAGGATTTGAAAGTAATTATGCCTTCCATCCTAATTCTTGTTAGAAGTAGCTTCTTCTGTTGATCTCAGCCCCCATTTGATCATTCTTCTTCTGTGAATTAAGTTTGCAGTATTCCACTGCTGCTGACAGGCTATTGATCGTCAAATATTTGTAGGTGCAACCAAACGAAATCGACCTGCTTTGAAACCGGGTGATCTTATTTATGCAACAGTCTCTCTTGCGATGAAACACCTTGAAGCAAATGTTTGTTATTATTTCATTTTGTCAACCGATGGCTTGATTTAACATTTTAAAATACGTTGGGACTATATTATATTTTATCTTCTGCTCTGTATGGTACGATGTATTACATATGTATTTTTGTTCACTGTCAATTTCAGTTGACTTGTGTAGATAACGATGGTCGATCCCAAGGAATGGGCATTCTACCCGCCGGTGGCTTCGTTTTTAAGACGAGTTTGAATTTAGCAAGAAGGCTGCTATCACCATCTTCACAATTACTCAAAGTAATCGGTCGAGAAATTAAATTCGAGATCACTTGTGGCTTAAATGGACGGATATGGATTAAAGCATCGAAGTCGAACGAAGTATCGTCCATTTATCGAATGATTATCTCGTCGCAGTACGTTCCTGAACATAAAATTCCTGAATTCGTTGATGAACAGATAGGTATTCTGAAAGGAATCAGATGAATCTCTTAAACTTGTTGGGATTACGTGGTCCTAATTGTCTCTAGAATCGTTGTAATAATCAATGGTGAGAGGGAATTTTTCGATTATTTATCATCCAGTATCGCCGTGGACTTCAGCATTCTCATATGTTTATGAACTCATCTATTCCTGTTTGCTTGCTCAATAACTCACAAGAGCATTCTTCATTCGTTGATTCAGCTTTTTCTTTCTGTCTTTCAGTGATATTTATAAATGATATTCGAGTTCAATTACAAATTTGCAGAAATGAAATTGAATGTTTTTGAATTGTTAACGTTCATGATGTAAACGGTATTGTTTTGAGTTGTCATTGTTTGTTTGAAGTGATATTGCTATTGTCTGTAATTTTTATGATCTCTCTAACAAGATGTTCGTTACATAGTGATAAATTGATGTATAAATCAATTGAAAATTTTGTACGTGACTGGATATAGTATTTGATTTTGCGTGCAGTTGAGTCTCATTGTTGATGGATGATTACGTTGCGCAATGCATGTTTGCTTAGCAGTATTTTAAACATTTTTTGATGTATTTTTTCGGCGGTGAGCTCAAAAATAGTTTCTTTTTCGGATTATCGTTGATAGTTTCAAGTATATTTAGTTTAAATACATCTCTAGTTTTCTGGCACAAACACTTCAATGTGGAATTTATAAGAATAAATTCTAGTGCCTTTTACTAGTGGTCAAAGGCAAATTCAAACTGAACCGATGGTGTTAGTTCGAATTATGCAACTCGTCCAGATCCATAGTAATATCCTCCTCACTGAAATCGAAATATGAATCTTTGAAGTGTAATGGGAAGATGAGCATTGCCTTATTTCCGGCTCGGATCTATGCAATACTGATTCACTTCCTTGATTCCAAAAATGTGCATTTTACGGGATAATAAAAAGTGAGATGTGCTTTGGAACGTGTGTCTGTTTCATTTATAATGTTAAACAAACTTTGTGTCGTGCTGACAATGAATAGCAATATTTATAGTAGGGTCCCTTTTGCTTTTTTTAGTTTTCACGAAATTTTGTAACTGTTCATATTATGTTGTGTGTTCATATTATGCTGCTACAATAAGTGTTCTGAGATTTGTTGAGTGTTACTTGAGTGAACTTTGTTCGTGGATTGATCACATTCAACGTTGTCGCAATGAGTGACCGACAAATCCATCCGCGACCAATCCGTACTACGTCAGCTTGAAACTCATAGCCGATCAGGAAACTTTGTTTGGATTCGACTTTTGAGGAATACGTACGCATGTTCACCGTTGCGTGCTTGTATTGGGAAATGGGGAATGTGTGATTTATTGGGAGATTATTTATCATTGTTTACGCGTGA